CCCCCCCCCAGGCTGCCCTGCCTGCTCCAGCTCCCGGGGCTTTAAAAAAAAGCCCCCAGTCACTGGGTGCTGCTGGGTGAGGGGGCAATTCCCACTGCCCCATGCTGCATGGGGGCTCTGCCACAAGTCCTCCCAGACCTCCCACTATTCCCCCCATGGCTGCCCCGCCCGCCCCTGCTCCAGCCCTTTAAAAAAAAAACTGAGAAAAGCCCCGGGACTCACCAGCTCCTGCAGCAGCCTTGGGACTTTGGGGAGCTCATGGAAGAGCCCCCCCACATAGCACAGGGCAGCGGGGGGCAGCGGGGATCGTCCCCTGCCCAGCAGCACCCAGTGAGTAACTCCCCGTTGCAGCAAGGATGGAGTTTGACTATAAGAGCTAGGCATTTTTTCTAACTGAGAATATCCCTATGCATCTTGCAGTGGTGACTGGGAGGTATGTCCTGGTAGGTTGTTCTCAGACACTTCCTCTGTTCTCACAATGAAATGTTACAATACAATGCTTAGTTTGGGTCAAAGCAACATGGAGTTCCAAGGACCTGAGCAGCTTTTGAAACTCCTGGAAATCTGTCTTTTCCCCACAAGAGTGGAAAGAGGTGTCTCCTTTCTCAAGAGTTGTTTCAGGCCTGTTCTCAGAGTTTGATTGCATTCTAAGGTCCTGGAGTCTTTTCAAATTGCCCTGATCATCTCTACCTGGAAAATGTGTTACGTTGACCTTCCAAACAGCAATCTATTGCAGTAATGTAAGTCACTGTGAGTGCTTAAGGTGATATTTTTTTTACAATCCTCCAATCCCATCTGCTGCTCCACATCTGACATAACCAGCTTCTAAATGTTGATTCCAACCTTCATTCCTATTCTGGATTTGAAATGGCCATTAACACCTCTGAAGTTCCTTAATGGCTGGGTAAGACCTGCAATGAGGACTGATGTTTTGGAGCACTGGTGTTTTGTTAGACACTAACCCAAATATTTCCTCCCAGTTCAGTTTAAGTTCTTGTAGCAAACCTGATCTTTGACAAAGTAACTACTTGGGTGGATAGGGAAATGCTGTGGATATAGTGTATCCAGACTTCAGTAAGACTTTTGACAAAGTCCCATATGACCTTCTCATACATTGGAGAAATGTGGGCTAGATAAAACTACAAAAAGGTAGATAGATAACTGGTTCTACAGTTGCAAGAAAAGGGCCATGTCAAAACAGCAAGAAGTTTCAAGTGGAGTGCCACAGGGGTCTGTCTAGGGCCTGGTGCTGTTCAATATGTTTTTTAACAATTTGGGTGCTGGCATAGAAAGCTTCTTGAGCAAGTTTGTTTAACATGAACCTGGGAAGGAGTGTGAATATGGAGGATGTGAGCACAATCCAGAAGGATCTTGGCAGAT